CTAGTATACTAATCCAATAAAACTTTTATTCAAGATTGTTTGTCATTTAAATAAGTTGGGTCTCTAATAATACCAGACAATATGTGAACAATATTTTATTATTATATTTTAAATAAGTAACAATATTCTGAGAATTAAACAATGACGTTTTAGAAAATAACAGAACTTATACCTATAAATGTCTAAATTTTATTTTACCACCATTTTTAGTAAATTACTATTTACTGATATTTTGTTTTATAAGAGCTGGAAGCACGAAGTGCACATTTTTAAATCTGAAAGAAAAATCCATTTCGTTTAATTTAAAAAATTAGGTACTGTCTGACAAATTTGTCAATTTGTCAAAAAATGTCATTTGACATTTATGACATACCTCTTCGGAAATCTTGAGAAAAGTTAGGTAACTTTATATTTCATGTTCTCCTCTAGCTCTAGCTACTATAACAATTAATTTATGAGAAGTATCCACATAAAGGATATTACTATACACATACGCATAAATTTAATGTTGCGATTTTTTGCGATTTTTTTGACTTAACTTTTCTAAGATAGAATATATGCCACTATCAAAAAAACCTTAAATAATTATGTTCTACTTTGACCTTTACCTAGTTTTTATCCAAAAAATCAAAATAAAAGATACTTTTTTACTTACCTTCACATTAAATTTACCGCAACCGGGAATTTATGTAAAACACGTTATGACAATTTTACAATAATTATTGACAGTAAGCTAAAGTCGTCCGATTCAATTGTTATAATACTGTGTCACTTGAATGCAATGCCTACTATTTAAAAAATTGTAGAAAAAAGGCAGTTATTGGACACAAATTAATTGAAAATGTAGGTTTTGCGCAAAGTTCGTTTTACAACCCCTCGAAAGAGACTCCGAATATGTTTTTTTGTTAGTTTTATGTGGTTTCCTCTTAACTAATATGTTTCCAATCTTATATTATTGCCATAAATGCTAACTGTGGATGATATTTTTTGCAACTTGGTTTGGACATATTGCCTACTGTGCGGCCAGGACAAGACACTAAAAACAATAGACGATGAAACCTATTTTTCCAAAGGTCCTTCATTAAAAATTAGTGTTTTTAACACAGATTGGCACTCTAGATTGAAATTTAAAATACGATCGTATGTCAACTTTTCACATTTTCGCTTAAAAAAATAGTATTTTAAACTTCAATCTAGAATGTGTAATTAATGGTAATTTTAAATAGTGTGTAATATTAATGGTAATTGTAAAAGAATGGAAAATTTAAGTAAACTGTTAATAAATTAAAAATAATAATGTCCATAAACTAATGTCGACTTTGAAAATAGTTACTAACTATCACTAGAAAATTGCCATGGCGACACCAACCATCTTGATTACAATTTTATTGAAAAATCGCTTTTTATTCAAAATCTCAGCCAGATAGGTATAGGAAACCCTAATATAGTTTGAAAGAGCATTTAAATCTGCTTCAACTTATTTAAAAAAAAATACATAGTGTTGCCTTTGAAGTAACAAAGTTTTTATGTAAAATAAATATTTAAAACAGACCAGCTCTTTTTGATACCCCTGTATACATTTAAGGAAGGAATAACATTTTTCTGTAAAATTTATTTCTCTACCTTTAAACTCAGCACAAGAATTAATTCTGAAAAGTAATGTACAGGGTGTTAATAATCTATTCTATTGTAGCATGCAAATTTAAATATCTTTAAATATCTCAAAAACCAAAGATTTTAAACATATTTAACCCTTAAAATAAATACCTTTTTTTGGGCCCAAGAATTCGAAAATGAAATAAAATACGGGGTCTTCCATAAGAAAAAATATAACTTTAGTATGGATCTTAGTTCTGAAACACCCTGTACATTTCAAAATAATTTTAAATTGTGCACATTACCTCCCCACATATACCCATAAAATATTTTGTTTCGACATCTTTCCGTTTTCGTATAATCAACCGAGGCGAATGAGGTGCGCCACCTTGTATAATATTTCTTCAAGGCTACTTGGAAAAATAGAAAAGAGAAAACAGAACTAATTGAATTCGTCAATCAATTTCTCTTTGTGGCATATACTAACATACCAAATCTCGTTTTTTTTTATCTCAAAAAGTAAAAAAGTTATAGAATAATAAATAACTTTAAAAAACACTTGGAATGGAGGTCAATTTAAGACAAATATGGCACTGGATGCGTGCTCTAAATATATTGGAAGAAATTATCAAAGTAACGTTAGTGTAAGTACCTGAATGGCTTCTATGTATCTCTAGTATGGTGGAAACAACTCACTACAACACATACTGCCAAAACAGTTTACAATAGGACACTCACCATAATTTAGGACACAGTGTAAAAAAATATAATTATTATTATAAATACTGTTATAGGTATTGTTTTATTAAAAAATATGAATTGATAGCTTCTTGTTCTCTTCGGTAGAAGTTAAAATATTACCATTGTCCTAGCTCTATTATTCTCATTATAACTAGCTATAATCTTAACGTTAAGCGCTACATAGAATTGATTAGATAGATTACATTATACAAAATGACTTTATGGTTAAAAACCTGGAGAGGTTGTTGTAAGACCAATATCTGTTCCAGAACAACCTTTCCCAGATCTATGGAGGTTCACTAAACTCTAGATTATATTCTCCAGTTGTATACTTTTTTCAAGTTTAATAACTTGGAGATAATAGTCCATATAACTTTTTTCCAATCACTTATTATTGTCTAGTAAAAGGAACTGCATATTGGCCTAGATTACACATTGCATGTTGATTTTTTATTAAGGTGAATGTACCTTAATAAAAAGGCTGAGAGCGTCGCGTCCGCCCCATTGAACTCAAACCCCGACGCTCAGCGGACGCTAGCGCAACGCCAAACTGTCGACGCTGTCTGCCTGAACGGTCTAATTTAAGTTAAGTGAATTGATTCCATTTCGACACGCGGACGCGACTCAAACGACGCTCTCAGCCTGAATGTACCTTTAATCTAAGAATGTGTGTATCATGACCAAAAGAATTATGAAACTAATAACTAATAATAATAATAATAATAATAATAAATGTCTTTATTTAGTACCCAAGAAAAACAAATACAAAATATCATAATAAAAGATGCGGCGAGATCTAGCACGATGCTACTCCATCTAACCGCACTGTTAAATATAAGCTTAACAACTAAATTCTAAGTCTAAGTATTTTCGTGAGCAGTAACTAATGACACTAAAAGATTATAGAAAACAATAATATGATAGCAAAGGCGAGCATTAAGTGAACAAACTAAAAACAGAAATAATTAAAAGTTATTTTAAAATAATACTCTCGACGAAATTAAATACTTCTCTCATTCACATAATGACGCTTGACAGCCTTCCTGAATGAGCCAACAGAGGGCCTGCATAATACACTATTTGGTAAACCATTAAATATTTTTACAGCAGAATAACTAAATGAGCCTCGAAACTTGGAAGTTCTATGTTTAGGTACAACAAAATTTCGGGAGTTACGCGTTGCCCGACCGTGGATACTATTATTAGTAATTAATTTGTCATATAAGTATTTAGGGAGTTGACTGTGACGAACTTTATATACAAGGGTAGCTAAGTGAACATTGAATCGTTCGTCCAATGTTAACCAGTTGGACGCCTCTAACAATGGGGTGACATGGTCAAATTTTCTTTTGCCAAAACTAAACTTTAAGCAGGCATTTTGAAGCTTTTGTAGGCTATATCTATTTCTTTGTGTAATGGCTGGCCAGAATAAAACATCACTATAGGAGATCATAGATAACACCAAAGAATTAGTTAACCTTAACTTAATATCAGTAGATAGAATATTTGCATGCATGTAAAGTACTTTTAATTTATAATAAGCTTTTTGCAGGACGCTGGACACATGATTTTCAAATTTAAGTTGGTTATCCAACAATATGCCTAAGTTTTTTTTCACAGCTTGAAGGTACAACTAGTGTGCCATCAATAATAACTTCCATACATTGATGATCAGGCATGCCAAATAACAACAATTTGGATTTGCTTCCATTGAGCACCAGCTTGTGAGATTTAGACACCTTTACAATCGTATCAAGATCTGAATTAATATTTCTTAAGGCATTATTGACATTAGATAATTGAAAAGAGTGGTATATTTGGGTGTCATCAGCGTATTGATGAGATTTACAAACAGTTAAAAATTCGCTAAAGTCGCAGGTGTACAAAGAAAATAATAAAGGTCCTAGTATACTACCCTGTGGGACACCCTGGTTGACATCTGTGTACTCAGAAAACGTAAATGCCAGCCGTACTCGTTGTTTCCTATTACTTAAATAATTATTAAAAAGTATAAGAGCGGAATCATGGAGACCAAAATATTTTAGCTTGGTGAGAAGTAAATTATGATCAAGGGTATCAAACGCTTTGCTGTAGTCCAACAGTACAAGTGCAGTCACATTTCCACTGTCTAATGAACGAAAAATATCATCACAAATGCAAGAGCGCTGTTGTGGTGCCATGCCGCGCTCGAAACCCAGATTGTGTCACGGGTATTATAGAATTATTTAGAACAAATTCATTAAGTTGTGTAAACATAATTCGTTCTAATATTTTAGAGAAAATGGGTAGAATACTTATAGGACGATAATGAGAAAGTTCACTAGAACGTCATTTTTGGCACCGGTATTACATCTGCCATTTTCCAGCTTAATGGAAATGTGTTTGAAGAAAGAGCTTTATTAATGATATAAGTTATGTAGGGTGTCAAATATGGAATCAATAAAGTAATCATTTTTATGTCGATGCCATCAGAGCCAACAGAAGATGTTTTAATTGAATATATGATTCTTTCAACTTCAGCTTCATTAACTTCTTCAAATTTAAAAGCATTGTGAACATTTGGATGAATTTTATTAGAATATTTATCTATAAATTGATTATTATTTGTCACTCCTATTTGAGGAATGCTGCTAATGAAAAAAGAATTAAGCTGATCAGCCGCATCAGAGGTCTGGAGCAAGGCAGATGCATCGGAGCTTTTAGAAGTAATGTTAAGGTTATTTAAAGTTTTCCAAAAAGAAGCAGGATCTAGTCTAAATTTATATTCAAGATAAGCTTTTTTTCGTTCCGTACAGCACTTGTTACCAGATTACGAAGCTGCTTGTATTCATATAGAGAGGTATCAGTTTTTAACTTTTTATATCTTGTGAGAGCCTTCTGGCGCAGCTTCATCATAAATTTGATATTATCGGTAATCCAGGGAGCGGGGGGTTTAGAAAACCTAGATGTTTTAAGTGGTGCATGTATATTAAATACGTCTGTTATATTTTTTTGAAAAAAAGTAATCATCTGATCAATATTAGTCATATTAAATATGTTTTGCCAGTTCACGTTAAAAAGATCATTCACAAAATCTGTAAGAACAAAATGTGAATAATCACGATAAGTGCGATAGGAAATGGGCACACGATTTTTTTGAAGATCTAAATCTGTTAATACTAGATGATGGTCAGATATATTATCCATATTAATAACCTGCACATCTGATATTAGTTTTGGGTTAGATGTAACCAAAACATCAATTAATTTACCCCCGAATTGAGAAATACGAGTGGGCGACTGCACTAATTGCGTTAAATTATATTTATTGAAGAACTGATTAATGGCAGAGCACCCAGGGCTTCCCGCTTCCAACATATCCACATTCAAGTCACCGCCAAACATGACAACATCGCAATCAGGCAAAAAACTAACAATGGCATTCTCCAGATCATCCAGAGAAGATGCCAAATTGGCCATGGGGGGTCGATATAATGTCCCGAAGCAAATAATTTTACCATTTATTTTAGTACGTATCCAAAGTTGTTCCAGGGCACTCTGCTGGGCAGATGTATCGATTACCTGAAATTTTAAAGAATTGACAACATAAAATGCCACTCCGCCACCACGGCCATCTCTGTCTTTGCGAACGAGATTATAGTTATGTATTTTAAAATTGTTGCTACTCAAAGGCTCACTCAACCATGTTTCCGAGAGACCATAAATATCAAACGCCTCTGCCGCCACATAATCAGAAAAACTGTCGAAATCTGAACATAGTGATCTTATATTAAAATGAGAAAAATAAAATTTATTTTTATTACTGCTCGCCGAAGCCATATAAGACGCTAAACAAAAGTAATGTGCACAGAAAATTTAAAAGAGAAATAGATCTACAATAATGAGATATAATTCTCGTTCAGCGAATAAATACGAGCCCATCAGATATTAGATTAAAAAAAAATAAAAATAAATCAAGCATACAACGGTATAATCAAAAACAAGGTAATAAAACAGTACATATCTGATGAACTTATAACGAAGTAAAAATATTCTATCATTATATTGTTTTTTTTAGCAATGAGACCATAGAAACAAAAAAGAAATATCTAACATTTTTTGTCGAATAAATTCTCTACAGCGAGAAAAAATGAAAATTTTATAGTTAAAGAATCACAATAGTACTATAGTCCTTTGCAGGTACCTATACGCAGGCAAATATATATATGTATATGTAAAAAAATATTAATTTCGATTAGTTATTAGTAATCATACATTGTAATCGCAAAAAAGAGAGTAAAAATATTCCAAGGTATTAAATATATTCACATTAAATAAATTATAAAAATAGACACCAGTGCTGGTAGAGAAAAAAAAAGGATATGTATTTCGCAAAAAAGCCAACATGGATTTTAAACATTGTCTGCCTCTTTAAACGCTTGTACGCTGTTGCCATCATTAACCAAAATTCTTCCATATGTCGACCATGCGTTTCTCATGCCATATTTCCTTCTTGCTGCCAGCAATACTTGATGTTGCTTTGCTGTCAGGTCCTCGTTAATGTAAATGCCTGTCCCCTTAAGATTTCTTCTGTTATTAAAAACTTCATTGCGTTTTAAGACTGATGTGAATGAAACTATTGTTACTCTTGATTTCCCAATTTCCATTTTACCCATTCTATAAACATTGTTAATTTCTTGCAAACAACATTTCACCCTTACAGCATCATTGAGTAGAGTAAGCATTTTAGACACTAAGTTTTCGTCTGAGCCATCTTCCAAACCAACAACTCTTAAAGAATTTTGTCTGATTTTATATTCGAGGTTATCCATTCTTCCTTCCATCTTTATTATAGACTGTCTATTGGACTGGGTCATACTTTCTATTGTATTAAGTTTCTCCATAATACTCCCAACACTGTTTTCTATTTTTTCAAATCTGTTACTTAAGTTTTCCAACTGATTCTCAATTCTTTGATTCAATTTTGGGACGAGCTTAGTTATTATCGTCTCTAGTTGGTTATCATCATGGGGATTGGACACTGACGCACTTCTAGTTCCTTTACTCATGTTAAATCCAAATGAAGATCTGGCAACCTCGGAATCTCGAAAATATTAACGAAGCAAATATTCAACTAATACAATCAAACCAGGTATTCAACTTTTTTTCTCCCTTAAGTCTGTCAACTTTACCTTCTATTTCTATTCAACTTTCAGGGAACAAACATCAAAACAACCGTTAAAATGCCAACTAAACCGTGAGCTCGTACAAATCGCTGTTTATCTAGCCATAGCCAAGCTTATACTACTTAACTACTTAGTATCTATTTTCTTAACCATTAGTTTAGACAGACTCAATAACATACATTATACATACATTGACTGTTCAAACTATGATGACAATTTATTGTCTTTGTACACTTGATTCTTAGGTTATACGTAAAAAGAATATCGCACTAAAATAGAAAGTTTGAACATGATTTCGTCTCTTAATTCCATTAGTTTGTATGTCTATTGAGCTTGCAACACCCTGTCAATACACTCACTACAGTTTTGACAGTTTTTCTGACGGTTATTGTCATAAATTGTATGAATAACTTTATATATTACTATAAAAATAAAAGGACCATTTTGTTAAATGAATTATAATTGAAAAGTATTTTATTAATATTAAAATAAGAATAAAGAGTTCTTGGAATTTTCTTTTTTATTACTAACGAATCACTAACTCGCTGAACTTTTCCTTAGAATTCGACTTCTACTTTATTAATTTTATCGTGACCTTTTATTTCAACTTAAAATTAAGAACTAGAATTAATGGAGTACCGTCGTTAAAACTTTAAAATTTCTTTGATTTCAGAAAATAATTAGGCATCAAACTTAGAAACTAAAATTTAAGTTAACTCAAATTTTATTATTGACTATATCCTAACCTGCATTAACTTTTATTTTAAAATTATACCTATATTGCTAATTTATTAAAAAAAATCACTATGACGCAAAAAAATATTTAAGAAAATGTTGACTGAGAGAATATTTATTAAAAAAACATATTAAAGGTGGTGCATCGTTGTTGGAAATATAGGAAATTAAATGTAAATTTTGAACTAATCTATTTTTAAATTAAAACTGAACAGGTAATAATGTAAAACCAGGTAAATGCCAACGTACCTTAAGTTGCCATCCTATAATTTCCTATGCTTCTAACGATCCGGTATAAACAACTTTATACAAGTTACTTTAGTTTTGAAGACACTAAATTATAAAGAAAAAAATGTTTGTTTCAATTAAAAAATGGTCTTTTTATACTTTTGTTAACTTAGTAATTGTAACGTTTTTAGGAACATTTTTTATATCGTTTAATAAATTATTGTAATCATTTAAGTAAAGTATTTACAAAAAGACTAAAGGGTTTTCCAAAAAACAAACAACACCAATTTGTGAAAAATATGCATTGTTGCTGAAACTGGTGTGTTTAATTTTCTTTCGTTCTGCAAATATCATACGAAAGGTCATGTTTGATATAAAATTGTACCTGATACACAAAATATGTTTAGATTTTCATGTAGAATCCAAGAATCAATGAATATAGAATGGGTCTCTAAGAATCAAAGAATGGAAAACAGATTTCTTGCAGTATAGGTATATAATAAAATTATATAAAAATTGTTTGTCATTATGACAAACACAGCATAGAATTAAATTTCTATATCAGCAGTTAAGTGGCAAGAATTTTTTTATATAATTTTATTATACAGGGTGTCCCAGAAATGAGTGCAGATATTTTAAGAGGTGGTAGATCTGGTCAAAATAAACATATTTTCTCTTTACCATTTTTAAAATAAATTGAAAATAACTGAGTTATTTAACTTTGAAAATTTAAAAAAATAATCGCAACATTTTGAGAACCACCGGCAGATATTGCCAACTACATCCAATTACCCGGATCAAGCCCGGATTTCAGTTAATTCGACGCACTGTGTTGCCATATGGACAAGAAAGTATATGTTTACAAGTAAGTCATAAAATCACAACACCTGAGGAGTTTGCAGAGATGCATTACACTTTTAAGATTGTGATATTATTACATAAAATAAATTAAAAGTTAAATGTTTAAAAGTTAAATTAAAAAAACTTACCCAACATTAAAAAAGATACTTATGACAGATCGATGTAACTGCGACAGTTCTCTTTTTCGATACACACTTGAATAAATACACTTCATTGTGCTGCTTTACTTGTACGTGCTATTATAAAAACTGCTAAAATAACAGTCCCCATTTTTAACTTAACACATTATTTTCGTATAGGCTTCATCACAATTTGAACCACTGATTTACAAAACACCTTGAAAAGCACACATTACACATTACTTTGAATATCTTTCTGAATGAATAAATGTTGAGAATTATTGTCTCTTACCGCCACTTTACGAACTACTTTCAATCTAAGAAAATACATGTTTCACTCAACAATTTTAAATACGTATTTTGCTTTTTCGCTATTTTTTCGATGTATTTCGACAATCCCGTCAACAGCCCAAACATCCGTCGGCCAAGACAGCCACGCATCACTGGTTGGTAACCGCTCACTGCTTCTTTGTCGCGCCGGCGTGTCGAGCTTGCGTCATGCGAGGTTGCCGTAGTTTCAACAATTTCAAATTCAAGACACTCGAAGCAATCAAATTCTTATTAAATTTTAAAAATAAAACAGAAAAACATGAAAGGAAACAAACAAAACACAAATGAATTGATAATTGATAAGGTCACAAAAAAAAATTTCTAAATTGTTTATCGTAATTCAGAATTCAATATATCGAAAACAGCCCGACGAATAATCAATTCATTTTCGTTTTGTTTGTTTCCTTTCATGTTTCTCTGTTTTATTTTTAGAATTTAATACAAATTTGATTGCTTCGAATCTCTTGAATTTGAAATTGTTGTAACTACGACAACGTTGCTTAACATCGTCGTCTGACGCAAGCCTGCCACGACGGCGCGGCTCAAAGGACCAGTTCACACGTGGCACTCTTGGCTGACGCGCGACGGTCGGGCTGTCAAAATACATCGAAAAATAGCGAAAAAACAAAATACGTATTTAAAATTGTTGAGTGAAACATGTCTTAAATTGAAAGTAGTTCGTAAAGTGGCGATAAGAGACGGTATTCAAAGTAATGTGCGCTTTTTAAGGTGTTTTGTAAATCAGTGGTTCAAATAAAACAGAGAAACATGAAAGAAAACAAATATTGAATTCTAAATTACGATAAACATTTTAGGAATTTTTTTTTGTGACCTGGTTGTGAATAATATGATGAATCATTTTCGTAAACGTCATAAACGTAATGTTTTAGTTAATTTTCGGTGGTTTTTGTTAAGTTTTCATTGAAAGGGTAAGTAGTAAAAATAATTAATGTGTTTTTTTCTATAATAATTATTAATAATGAGGCACTGATGAAAATTTAACATTTTTAATTTTTGAGTAGAAATTTTTCTATGAATTTATAAATGTAGAACTATGTAGAATGTGGATAATATAGGAGGTTACAACACTGCATGGTTTAGATACACCGTAGAGAAATCTCAGGTGAATAAACAAGTGGCACTAAAAAGTTTTTTCAAATTTCCCGGAAAATGTCAAGAAAAATTTTAAATTTTCAACATTTTTTTTTCGCAAAAAAAACCTCATAGGCGTGTTTCTGGGGTTGAACTATACTACCAGTTAAAATATCTGCACTTATTTCTGGGACACCCTGTATACCTATACTGCAAGAATTTTGTTTTCCATTTTATAATTTGGCTTGCCTGAAAAAAAGCCTTTTACAATCCTTTTACTAGCGATAGTTGCTCCTCGGTGGTACGAAAGTACTACCATTGCACGCAGGTTGCTATCTCCCGTTCGAGACTTAATATTTAACCGATACTTTCCGACAAGTCGGAATTAACTACTCTACGCTGTGGTTGTAATTTTTTTGTGGATTTACCCAAGCTCGAAACCGGTAGTGAGAGCAGGTTGATCCACATTATGACAAACACAGCGTAGAATTAAATTTCTATATCAGCAGTTAAGTGACCAGAATTTTTATATAATTTTTTTATATATACTCTGTTTTTTTTTCTCCGGTAAGATTTCGACAGACGATGACAGAAGAAAAGCAGATGACGTCCCATACCAATCTATTTATTTTACTACAAAAAGTTTCGAATAATT